CCTTCTTAAAGTTTTTCAGTGACTTTATACAAGTTTCAGTATTCCATCTTAATGGCAGTATATGACATTGCAACTGCATTTCTTAGATGTTCTTTTCATCGTATTTTTCATTATCCATTTTCAATCAATAGGCAATATATAAATGACATTACGAGATCAGGAGCTTTCTGTTGTGAGCTATGCAAACTCCGAGTTATGAAAAACACCATGTTCTGCTTTTGAAATCACAGCAATAACTTCTGATTGTCTGAAATTATTGTTTCAGAAAATAACATTTTAACATTTATCTCTATAGAAGACAGACTTCATCCTCAACTTATGATCAATCAATCATCAAAAACATCCAACTTCCCATAATAGCTGGTTTCAGCTCATACATGCAGCTTGCCTTTCTAGGGTTCAGAGCAGATGAATTAACATGTGCCTATTATAAACTGGTAGTATATAGTCTAAGGATTAACTACTATAGCAACCAGCGCTGCAGTCTGCCAACACATACTCACCCAAATTGCTGGATTTTCTAAGTTTATGTGGATAGGATTTATATGTAGGTGTTCATTTATTGTGCAGAGATTGCAAGTTTTCTATTATGTGGATTTCTTCAAATATGTATAAAAGCACAGCCATTGCATCACCCTTCCAAAAAAACCCCAGTGTAATATTCGAAATAAAAACTGCTGCTAAATTCTACAAATATTTATTTTACACATTATAGGATTCCTCCTGCTTGTTCATTTTATTCTATTCAATTATTGCAGAATGGTATTGTGGACAGCCAGTACCATGAAGTATTCGAACTGAAATAAGATTACATGAAATCATGGTATAATCAAAACCTTTCTACCCATAACCTTAATTCCATGCATTTTTTTTTTTTTTAAAGAGAAGTATTAAAGAAAACTGTGCTTTTGTTACTAGACACTTTAAAAATAGTGCATTTTTAAAAAAATCATACATGACATCATATGACATCACAAATGACTTTTTTTGAGTAAGCGGTAAGTATTAAGTCCTGGTGAAGTTCAATGTCACCTGAAAATTAATTCCTAAAGATATGGGAATGTTCTTCTCCCCAAATACACTTCTGTATGTAAGTTTCTTAGGAAAAAATGGGTAGAAGGGGAAAGAATCCTGTTTCAACTGTGATTACCTATACATATGCACTAAATACACGACAGATTGCACTATACAAGTTACTGTATACTACAACTATCCAGAAATGAGTGATGCATGTTTTCATCACTTCCAGTGGAGCTGAGCAGAAGCATTTTGAGAAAAAATGGAGGTACAAGTTAGGAGAAAAGTAACAGAAAAGGAGGATGGAAGAGAAGAAAGAAAACAAATACTACACTAAAATATGCGTCCTCTGTCTGTAAATATAACTTTGTTGCTTGTAAACCTATCATCTGCATTTCAGCTGCTTTTTTTCCTAGTGTATTCTTCTATTTTTTGTCCTGTCTGCTGACACAATCTTATTTTTTCCCTCTTCGGTCAACTCTCTCCTTCCCTCTTCCTGCTGTCTTCCTTTCTACATTGCTCTTCTGAATTTACCTTTCGTTCTGACTCCCTTCTCATTTTATCTATTCTGGAGTAATTATTCATGGGTTTTCTTCTACCATTGCAGTTCTGTAACCTCACTTCTTAACTCTTGAGATTTAGCACCTTCTTTTTCTTGTCCTGTAGTAGATGCAATAACGTTTGCACAGTCCAACAGAATTTTGGGAAAACTCCAGTGATAAATATCAAGGCTAGGTGGTGAAGTTTTCAACTAGTGTGAAACATCTGCCATAGGGATGGGCTAGGAGGATCAGGGCTAGCAAGTCAACACGATGTGAGGACAAAGCCTTCCAACAGAGAGTAAAGGCATTCATTTTACAATTGGATAAACCCTTTCTATACCAAATGAAAGGAAGATTATCTGAATACTTCCATTTTTTTTTTTAATAATAAACTCCCCAGATCCATTACACAGGCTTCTGAGCCTTTCTGCTGCTTTGGAGGCAGAAATCGTATGTGCAAGTGTTGGCAGAGAGAAGCATCAGCACATCGTAACTGCCTGGCCAAAGGACCATTACATCATTTGTTTTGAAAATAACTCAAGATTGACATTATAAAGACATACTGAGAAAATTCATTATACTAAAAAAGGAAATATTCCAATAAATTGAGAACTTGCTCATACTTCCATAGATCAAGATTCATACATCTAGTAGAGAAGTATTTCCTACTTGTGCGGGTAGGAAAATACCCACATCAAGGGAGAAATATGATCATGTTACAATTATGTGCCATATTGATTTTGTTCTCTTTTAGTGGATAACTATCAACCAGAGCGCTTGCCTTTCAGAAGCAACACTCAGCAAGCCAACTTAACAGGCTGTTATTAACATGGCGACCTGAAAGACATCCTGAAAGCCATGTCATGTATAGAATATATCTTAATTCCTCCATGAAGTAAACAGTTCTGAACAACCCAACTCAAATAACTTTTCATCTCCTAGGTTCAGCAAAGATCGCCCTAAGCCATGCTGGCATGCACCGCTTCCTTCTTAAGATTTCTTTCCTCGCTATCTAAGTGAGTTTATCCCTGCTGCAATTAATTATTGTAAGAATAAATGTCTTGCTCTGTTATCTCCTATCCTTTCTATCACAGCCAGCAAGAACAGACTATCTATTCTCTTCCTCTTTTCAGCAGTCTTGTACACACATGAAGACAGTCATTCCATCCTTTTTTTTTTTTTTAATTAAGTAAACACAATCCATCCTTTTAAATAAGCCATGTTTTCCAAACTCCAGATCACTCTCTGAGGTTTCTCTGACTCTTCCATATTCTTCTTGGCATGTAACAATCAAAAAGGACACAAAAATGCACTGAGAACTTCTTAAACTTTAAGTGCAATAAAAAGACAACTTTATACATTTCAAAAACTCTGTACCTCCCATTACAGTGTTTCCCTTGATACAGGAATGTGAAATTGTTGACTTACACTCAGCTAGCAGTGTGCAACAACTACTGTTGGGTCTTTTTTCAGTGAACTGCTCCTTAACCATTTGATTCCCTACAACTGTAAGTGTATTACCTCAACCTTTTCATTTCTAAACAGCTTTACTGTTTCTCAGATCGTATCTCCAGTTTGCGTTTATTCGAGTTCCAAGTCTGTTCTGCAAAGTAACTGCAGTTCCCACCCAGCAGTTTTATCTACACGTGTAATTAGCATTTTCACTGTTATCCTTGTCATTATTTAAATATAAAAATATTAAACAACAGAGGACCTGAGTAGGTGCTTGTCAACACAGTCAATGCATCCTCTGTCTGACAGCCAACCTCTGCCAACAACTCTGTCCACATACTGTCCGGAGGGTTCTGTACACACCCAGAGGTATTTTCCCCCAGACCAGCGGTATCTGGTTTCTTTAGGAAAGTACCACATGAACCACTGTGAAGAAGTTCTAGTCACAATACCAATTACACTGAGAAAGGAAAAAAAAAAAAAAAATCCCCAAAACTGGTCTCTGCTAATTATTTTTGATAAATCTACTTTGCCTTACCATTTTTGTTGTTTACAAACAGATGAGTTTTTTTCCCTGAAAATTAAACTAATGGACCTATAACTACCTAATCCTCTATTTTACTTCCTCTGTTACAACACCAAAGACAAAGGAGTTAAATTTTGCTGATGATTGCTCAACAGGATATCCATCAACCCTGGCATGGAGGGACTAATTTTAGAAGAGAAAGTGGTCTGTAGCCCTTTCAACTGCCAGTATTGCTGTGTCAGGTCAGGGAGGAATTCACCAAATACCCTGGGCTCTGGTCAGTTCTCATTTAATTTCCAGGTTGTCTCTAAAACACTGGATCGTTACCAAAGACATAGACAGGAGATAACTAGCTTCCTGCAAAATCATACAACATTTATAGCTTTCACCAGCATTTCAGTGTTTTGAGTTGGTTTAATTAACATACAGACAGGTGTCCAACTTCAACCTTACCAGGCAAATTCTCGGAGGCTGTTACGCCATGACTATGGGAAGTAGAAGAAAATAAAGCAAGGAGAAGACTGCCAGTGCAAGGGTCTTCATGGGTGGTAGATGAAAGGAGGAATGCTTCTTCGAATTCTTTAAATTAACAGCTCTCTCCTATCCACAGACTGTTCTTGGGCAATATCCGTACGTAATTCATAAGTAATGGAATTCCAAAAAAACAAGCTGCAGCTTCCAGTTTTGCTTTTACCAGGGGATCATATGGCTTGAAGAACCACAGACAGCTACATGCCACAGAAAATTCTGTCAAAGGGCTGTAGTCAAAGGTTACTTTAGCAAGCAACTTTTCAGCTTGAGATAAAATAAAGAAAATTTGAGAGGTCTGGTATTTAAAAGGGAAACAATGACAAAGTAAATGACTTATTACATGTATCTTGCAAACCGAGAGAGAAAAAAAGTTATTAAAATGAGTGTCTCATCTGACCCCACTACCTTATGTTTTAAAAAAGGAATACAACTAATAACTTGTGAAAATGTATGTGAAACTAGTTTATTCTAAAATTAAAAGGTAGTTGCACCTGCACGCATGTCAAATATTTGATATTATTTAAGACTGTAAAACCTCATTTTCCTGTTCTCCTCTATTTTGACTACAAGAAAAAATGTTATCTTCCCTGCCATAAGCTATTTAAGAACATATATGAAAAGCAGCATTTCAGCTTTTTTCATACTATGTAATGTTAGATCTCCAGGGTCTTAATTAGGAGATGAGAGGAGGCTCCTTAAGTAATCAGTATAACCTCCAGAAGATTTAAAACATTTAACTCAGCGTTTCCCTTTTTAGCCCAATTACACTCACAGCACTGGGGTTTTAATGCCATGGAAGCACTCTACTCAACTCAGAAAGCCTGAGTCGAGAATATACAAGTTTTCAGATGAATACCAAAAATCAGGTAAGCTCTTAGAAATGCTGTTTAAAACAATCTTTACAAACATACATAGATAAACTAGCAACATACCTGAAAAAGAACATGAACAGAGCAGCTGTGATGCAGAACAAAAGGACCTACAAGAAGGAGAAAGAGCGTTATTACATAAAACATCACACTACTACTGCGTGTTCTGGATCATGAAGCTTTTACAAGCGTTACTGTAAAAGTTACACTTTATTTATATGCTTGATGGGCCAGAATGAAATCTTGTCTGAATCCACCAAAAAGGATTCTCTTGTTTCTAGTGGACTTTGAGCCATTCCTGTCAAAGTTAAAAAAAAATATGAAATCCAAACCAGGGTAGCAGGACAACAGACACAGCAAATGATGCCACTTAAAATAGTGGCATTAATACAAAATAATAACAAAACAATAGAATGAAAACAACAAAGTAATAGAAGAGAAATTTAAACATTGTATTCTGTCTCTTTGCTTTTGTGATTTATTCAAATACCATATTGCTAGTTTCAGTTTAAAAGGCAGGACATTTAAGATGTCTGTACAGACAGCTGCTTCTGCTTAACTGCTTTCCAGCAAGTTTGAGAGTAGATGATTCTATTCCCAAATGACAGTATCCTTTCTAATAGTAACACCTTAGTGTTCAACTCACTTGGAGTAATCCCATCTTGCTCTAGATCATCAATGCGATCATACACGAGTCAGTGAGCAAACTTAGCAGCTCTCCAGCACTGTGAGGGGAACGTCCTACTTCTTCTCCTGTCCTCTCTGCTGGGGCTCAGTGCTCTTACCTCCTCCTTACCACCTGCACAGTGGCTCACAAATGCTGAAGAAAACAAACTCAAGGAGGAAAAAAAGCATAAATCAAACCTTTGGAGAGTTTTCTGCCAATTTGGCGAGATAACGAGATCACTGGAAGGGTATAAAAGCACCAGAGCAGGCACAGGCAAAAGGGAAGGAGGGGACCTCCGTGCCAGGAGCAGAGAAGGGGAGGAAGGATGAAGCCATCCTCCTCGAGATACCAACAAGCCGTTGTACCTTGACTGCAGCACTGCTTGTACATACGGCTGTTTCAGAAACAACTACATTATGCTTTAAATTCATAACCCGCCTTAATCCACTCCATTTGCCAGACACAGATTGAGAGTGAGAAAACACCATTTTGTTCTAGATATACTGGCCCATATTCATACCGTCATTCAGGAGGCAAAAACCTTGCAGAAAAATTGCAACAGTTTTAGAAAACACTTGCACTTATTTTCAAGGGTTGACGAAGTTTTGATCATGATAGGATACAGACAGCTTAAGTGCAAAGAAATGGAAATGCTGGCAGTAGTGCATATTTGAAGGTTATAAACATGTAGAACAGTAGACTGCTGCGTGTTGATACAGATCAGAAAGTGTGATAAAAATTTAAATAGGAAAAGTTTACAATGACTTTCAGAGAAAAAAAATCTTACAATGAGACTATTTCCCTTTTCTAAGTCTTCTGGCATGTGACTTAAAATTAGGTCACACGAGACATTATAATGTTTGCTGTGTAAACTACCCATTTTTTTTCCTTTTCCTTCACCAGTACTATTGTATTTTATTATTCTGCATTAAAAGTGTGAACATCTGAAGTAATTTTATATGAAATCATGAGGGCAAAGTGAGGACAATGATATATTCCAGTTCAAACTAGCAGCAAAAGCAGACTTACATTTAAACCTGAGTTTACTTTAAAAGATCTACCCTAACCCTCCAAAGCTCAAACCATATTTAATCATTCAAACAACAATCATCAATTCTCTGGATGCCATTTCTGGGACACAGAAGGGACAAGAAGCCTTGACAGCCCGAGCAATGATATCGAGAAATAAGTGAGAAATGGCAAAGAACCAGGTTTGGGGCCAGGGGAAGAGTATACCTTTCAATATTAAAAACACTCACTTCACTAAATAGTCTCTTTCTCTTGACCTTTTTTCTTTTATTCCTTTTTTACCTTTTTTTTTTAGTAAGTTTGATAACAACCTAACAAGTATTTATACAAATCATTCAGATTCCCTTGGAGCGCTCTCTTCTCCAGACTAAGGCACCCCAGCTCTCTCAGCCTTTCTTTGTACGAGAGATGCTCCAAGCCCTTAATCATCTTCATGGCCCTTCACTCCAGTATGTCCACGTCTGTCTCGTACTGGGAAACCCAGCACTGGACACAACACTACAGATGTGTCTTACCAGCTCTGAGTAGAGGGGAAGGATGACCTCCCTCGACCTGCTGGCAATGTTTCTTCTAATGCAGCCCACGAGGCTGGTGGTCTCCTTTGCTGGAAGGGCACTGTGCTGGCTCATGTTCAGCTTGGTGTCCACCAGGACCCCCAAGGGCTTTTCTGCAAAGCTGCTTTCCAGGTGCCCCCAGTATATACCAGTGCCTGGGGTTATTCCTCCCCAGGGGCAGGACTTGGCACTTCCCCTTGTTGAAGCTCACGAGGTTCCTGCTGGCCCATTTCTCCAGCCTGTTGAGGTCCCTCTGGACGGCACCATGACCACCGGGTGCAGCAACAACTCCTCCCGGTTTTGTATCATCTACAAACCTGCTGAGGGTGCAGCCTCCTGTCCGCTCATCAACGAAGATGCTGCTGACCGCAGCATGGACTCCTGGGGTCCACCACTACTAACTGGCCTCCTGCTGGACTTTCTTTGTGCTTTGAGTCTGTCAGTTCAGCCCAGCCAGGTTTCAATCCACCTCACCATCCACCTATCATCAATTTGCCTATCATCTGTATTCCATTTGGCAAAATCTGGGCAACCTTGCTTAATCAACTTTTATAATGATCAGATGTCTTCCAGAACTTAAAAATATTCTTTGAAGAAAATAAGATGTGGAAGACCTTGGCCAGGTGGAAAAGATGAAACTGATACAATTTTTGTAAATGAGAAGTTCAGGGAATACTGGATGGTCAACCAGGCCACTTCTAATATCCACAACTATACTAGAATAAATTATTTGAAACAGCTAGTTTATAAACATCTAGATAACAAGACAACAAGAAACAACCAACACAATAAACAATTAAATCTATTGTACTTTTCTTTGACAGATGTTTTAAGGAAAAGAGCAGGTGTCATTTATCTGAACTTTAATGCACCTTTGTGGCAGTCGCATATGTTAATTAAGTAAGTGGGCACAGAGCTCCTCAAGAACACTACAGGAGAAAACTCTAATAGTTAGCAGTTCATTATCAAACTAAAAGGCATTTTAACTGAGGTCACCAAAGAGGTTTTGCTTTCCTCTTCGGTAATGATTTGAACAATGGAACAGAGATTATGTCACAAATTCACAAAACCCTTTACAGGCCAGGTAAATTATGCAAAGAGATTGAATTGCCCAAAGTCAACAAGATGAAATTCAATAAATAGAAATATGAAGTCGCTGGCAGGAGAAATCACACATGCAAAAACCAAGACAAGAAACAACTGTGTAGGCAGTACAAGAGTATAACCAGTTCCACAGATCACAAATAAATAAGCACCAGCAACGCAATGCTGCAGAAAGCGCCGTAAAATAATACAGACTCTTTTAGAAGCAGAGGAGGCAAGACACAGCAGCATATTACACTAATGATCTGGTGCTAGCAACACCCCAACATAGAGCTTTGGGCACTACTGTTAAAGAAAAGCATAGACAAAACAAGACAGTCCAGAAAAGCACAATGAAAATAACAGGCACGTAGTGTACAGCTGGTGAGAAACTGCTTCAACTAAAAAAGAGGTAGCTAGTGACAAACATGACAACTATTTTCATATAATTATCACATACTGACAAATCTGTCTCATCGAGTACAGAAGGAGGAAGACAAAGCTAAATCTACAATGAAGACAACATAGGTTAAACATTAGGAAGAGCTCTCTCTATAGGGTAGTGACACACCACAACAAGTTGCCTGTGAGACTGTGGAATCTCCTTTATCAGAGGCATTTAAGATCAGTAAAGGCAAACATCTCCTAGAAATGCTCTGGGCATGTTTGACACTGTCTCTCCCACACACGACTGAAGGACAGCAAGATGTGCAGTTAAACCAGACTGTTTTACATGAAGTGCACAGCCCAGCGTGGCAAACCCAGTGATTGTCTTCTTATCATAGCACAAAGAAACAGAAGGCAAACAGTCACCACGCTCCAAGATCAAGCTACTTTCAAAACAAGCCTTTTTTTCAACTTTTCCCCATTCTATAGAATTTTTTTGTAGCATCCTTAGTACAATATGCATTGTATTTTAGACTTAAAAACAACTATACTAAAAAAGAGAAAAAACACTAAGGCCTACAGAAATATAATTCTAAATATTGAGTGAATTTAAGCCTCATAATCTAGTGGGCAGGAAGTCTCATTTTGGATTTTTCTTCCACAGTCTGTCACTTTTTGATTTACGATACAAGGTCAACAAATTATGCTTGGCAACACACAGACCTTGAAACTTTCCAGCTGCAGAAACAGATACAACAAGCAGACAACCTACATGTTTCTAATGAGAATGATACGCCCTAAATATTTTAACATTTTTAAAAAAGATGCACATAGGTTACAAGGAAAAATCTCTATGCTCCAGGACAGGTTAGCATATTTGGTGTGTAAGGCACACACTGTAATTTAATTGATCACATTATACTTTACTGTACTACACTAAACCTTAATAAAAAAGGAGGAAAGTTGCTGACAAAACTTAAGTACTTTTTTCCAGATCTCTGTTGGCTGACAAAGCCTTTTTTTTTTTTTTTTTCCGAGAAAGCTTAGTCCTCATATAAACAGCATCACAAAGCAACATTCAGCAGTTCCCAGCTCTAAGCACCAACCAAAAAGCTCTGGCTGAAAGCAGTTACCAGCAGCCCCAGTAACACCAGCAGCAGCAGCTCACAAATGACTTGCCCTCACAGCCAGACAGAAATCTTGGACCAGAGGAAGGAAAAATAACAGTGACAAAGCTATTAAAACTACTCTTGAGCCTCATGTATTCAGACTTTTCGTGCATATTACCTAATCCTAAGGTTATGTGTATTCTCCTTAAGCATTTTCATTATAGTCAGATTTCCTGGGGTAAAAAAGTCTCTGATTGGAGGCTGCTGGATCTCCCATACAA